GAGAAGGCAACAAGGAAACAAACAAAGAAGTAAAGGGAAAAGATAAGTAAGAAACAACAAATAGTAGGAAGCAAGAAGGAAGAAAAAAGAAATATACGAGTATAAAAAGAGAATTAAAAAGTAAATCCGACAGAATTTACAGAACTGAAGCAGGAATGTGGCATGTACTGTCTTCGCTCGCTTGGAAACCGGGAGCGTGGGTTCGAATCCCACTCAGGGCATGGATGTTTAGTTTGTGTGTGTGCGTTTTTCTGTGTTTGTGTACAGGTAGAGGCCTTGCGACGAGCTGATCACCAGCCCAAGGAGTCCTACCGAATGTGTAAGATCTAGAAAAACCGAAGAGAACGGAGAAGTTCATGGAGGTAGGCCTAGGCCCACTGGGGCTGTAGTGCCAAGGAAAAAAAGCAGGAATGTCAATTCTGGAATGATACTTGTTGGCCTGTACTGGACCGTGGCTAATCAGAAGACCTACCGCTGTCCTACAGATCGGAACGCACAACTGGACGGTTGTCACTTCCGTTTTGCACACAACCTCGTGTCGCTTCCTGTCTCTGTATATTTAAGTTGCCGTTAATGATGAGTCAGACTCAGCACTGATTTTAACGAGTTCTATGTTTGTTTTCCTTCCACTGAATTTCTGTAACAGCCTGCAATTACAGACATTTATTTCAGTCTGCGTATGCGAATATCGACCTAGAGAGTGACCCCCCCCCCCGAGGGTAGTGACGTGTTTCAGACAGCTCTCAAGTGTCACTGATCTGAACCTATAAACAATACATCAATCGCGTTGCTATCACACAGAAATATCTTTACATTTATTTTGAATAAGTCTGTACTCGGTACATTTACTATCGGACTAGCAGAAATTTACCATTACATCTGTTGCAATTACACTTAGTCAAATGTGTCACAGAGAAAATTGTAAATCTCACCCAATGAACTCGCATTCGGTAGTGTAGTTGGTTGAGGGGCTATGCTACAAGCCAGAAGGTAGCGGGTTCAAGTCCCGATGAGGTCATTGGATTTTTTCCAGCTTATCTAATCCTTCCAGCCACACTATGGTCCTGGGGTCGACTCAGCCTCTTAACAGAAATGGGTACCAGGAATTTATTAAATAATTTTCCTGGNGACTCAGCCTCTAACAGAAATGAGTACCAGGAATTGATTAAATAATATTCCTGGAGAGTAAAGCTGACAACCTTACCGCCATTTTTGAGCAGATTGTCTAGATAATGTGGGACCCTCAACGTCTCATAACCCTATGGGCCTTCACGGCCTGTTACAGGGATACCTTCACTTTTTTACTTTTACCTGGTCTGCGCGTCTTTAGGGTTACAGCTGCAACAAGCAGGAGAACTGAATCGTGTGAACCAGTCAGAGGCGAGATCCACAGCAAGGTGTCAAGAAATCTGGATCCATGTTTTCTAATGTTTATCAGAACAAACATCGACCATTTCTCTAAACAATATTAACAGTCTAATTGAACTAAATTCATGGAGCTGAGCCCTTCTTGAGAAGCCGCCAATTGTGTTGCTACTGAAGAACTTCCCAGCAATTTATGGAATCCGAAGGTTCATTATCATGTTCACAAGAGCCCTCCACTTCTCCCTATCTTAAGCCAGATCGATCCGGTCCATACCACCCAATTCCCTTTGTTTATGATACATTTTAATATTATTCACCCCCCTAAGTCCTGGTCTTCGTAGTGGTCTCTTTCCTTCTGCCTTCCAACCAATATCCTATATACAATTATCTTCTACCACATTCGTGCTACATGCCCTGCCAACCTCATCCTCCTTGACTTGATCATTCTAATTATACTTGGAGAAGAGTACAAGTTATGAAGCTCCTCATTATGCAGTTTTCTCCAACCTCCTGTCACTTCATCTCTCTTCTGTCTAAATATTCTCCTCAACACCCTGTTCTCAAACACCCTCAGTCCATGTTCCTCCCTTAATGCCAGAGACCAAGTTTCACACCCATACAAAACCACTGCCAAAGTTATATTTCTGTATATTCTAATTTTTATGTTTTTAGACAGGAGACGAGAAGACAGAAGGTTATGTACTGAATGGTAGCAAGCATTACCCGAGTTCAATCTCATCTTAATTTCCACATGAATCAAATTTTAATTTGATATTAACAGATTAGTATGTGCAATGGAAGCGCAGCGTTTACTGTGAGGTACGACGCAAAGTTATGTTATTTGGATAAAATCCGTCCTCGTCCTTTTTCCTGCGACAGACCAAATGAAACCGAGGTTCTCCTCGGTACTAGAACGAATGCTGAGCTGGTTCACCAATTCCACTTTACACTGCATGCTTCACGTGCAGTCCATCCAGTGTTAATATCAAAATGTTTCCCCCAATACAGTCTTTCCAATGTTAAATAAAAATTAATCTTAATTAGACTTCTTCAACATTAATATCAAAATTTCGGTTGTAAACAACAAAGCTCCTGGTATTAAGAAAGCAGTTTTATGTCCTTCACTTCCCAACCATTTACCGTCTCAGACGTGCGCCTACAAGGACTATATGTAGCAGCTTGAGAACGCTCAGAGCAGGATTTTTTTCGTCTCTCCGCCCTCCTAAAATATTTTTATTTTTTTTTCTGTTCTGCCTCTCTTCCCCTATTCGTGATTTGAACGGTTACTATTTCGTGAGTTTCTGTTTATAAAATAGATTACCTAAGTCACACAGTATTATTGACCTGTCTATTGGTACTAAAAGAGACCGTCTCTTTCAGTGTCAAGAAAATACTCTTTTTCTTTTCATAGTCCCATCGGTCTTCCAGTAGAGTGGCTGTCTTTTATTCTATTACATCACCTTTCACAGGCACACTAGTCTTCATTTAAGTCGAGGTTGAATAATGGAATTTGGGAACTTTAATTCAGAGGACTCCACTCCTGACATCTGTAGCACAGAAGTGACACTAACTGAAGTTCTTAAAACGTAAAAGTAGCTCCAAGACAGATAAATTGGAATTTCCTGTTTTTCTCCTTTTAGTTCATTTCCTGAAAGAAACAGAAAAGTTGGAGATTTTCTGATTCATAGTAACTTCAGGATACAGGATTGAAGCTGACAGTTATTTTGCTGTTCAACAAACTGACTACCTTTCTGATCCCTGATGATCATTTTATATGTATGAAAATGTAATTCTGTTGAGGAGAGAAAGAGAGAGAGAGAGAGGAACGAAACTAGCGGCCTCGTGTGTCACTTTCCAGAATGAAAATGATACAGAACCTGAGTAATGCTCACTAGCCTGGATATTCATGACCGAATCGACGTAAGCAAAGATCATAAAATTTCTCATTTTGGGTCAATTGAATGTTGCATAATGTTGAGGGGGCGTAATTTGGAATCTCCAAAGAAAGAAGTTAATCCAGTTGAATTAAAACACGGAGGTATCCAGTAGAGGCACGCAGTTGTAACTTGAAACCCGGAAAAGATCTCAGCCATTGCTTCTTGTGTTCCTGTCAGTCTCTTCCTTCCAACAGAGGTCTTAATTCAGAAAACCTGAAGCTACTATGAAATTTATTCCACACTGTTACCAATATGTACCTCAACCATTCAAATGACGGTGTTGAAAAGTATGTTAAAGCTGTAACAGGCCGTGGAGGTCAGTAGGTTTGTGAGACGTCGAGGTTCCCAGATTTTCTAGACAATTTGCTCACAGATGGCGGTGAGGTTGTAAACCTTACACGCCGGACGCCCTTTATCCCTAGGAAGATTCCTGGTACTCATTTCTGTTAGAGGCTGAGTCGATCCAAAGGCCGGAGTGCGGCTTGAAGGATTAGGCAAATTGAAAAATTCAATGACCTCACCGGGAGTGTAACACACGCTCCTTCTACGCTACCGCGTAGTACATGATATTCTAATATTTTTCAATTATATGATTAGATTCTAATTCCTCAGGTTGGCTGCTCTATTAGCGCAATGACAGTTGAAAATTCAACGGAAAATTTTCATCGTCCATTATAAGAACTTTCGTATTATTATTTTTTTTATTGCTAATGGGGTGGGACTAAGTCCCTTGTACTGCGGCCACTTCTGGCCTATTGTACCAGCCCCAGATGATAGGTGAGGGTGATTGTGGAGCAATTGGGGGAATGAAGATTGACAGGGGAAATCGAAGTACTCGGAGAATACCTGCCCCAGCGCCACTTTGTCCACCACAAATCCCACTTGACCAAACCCCGAGATCGAACCCGGGCCGCCGCGGTGGTAAGCCAGCGACTAAACGCTTGAGCTAAGGCGCGGCCTTTCATATTATTAACTTCCCCTGCTATCTCTCATATTCCCTTCTAGTCCAGAACGTTGTTGAACACGTAGGAGACTGACGTTTAACGCCATCTCCCACTACCGAGACGCACTAATATTCAATAGTAAAGCATATCCTTTATATGATGTACAACACTTCATGTATCAATTTCACAATTCTACCATTCAGTGTATCGTGACAATAGTCACGATACACTGAAAATTAGACTGCTTGCTTGTTCGTGGCTTACTTCACAACATTTCATTTCTGTGGTACCCCAAATGGCGTACTTCGGACATCTCATTTCAATGTACGTTGCATATACAGAGAGAGATGTTGAAATGTTGAAGAAGGAAAGAACGTACATTCCGCTTGGTAGAGGTAAATAAAAGGCCTCGACATGACTCTATCTGAAGCCAGACGGATCCGGGTTCGTTTCTCCGGCCTACCCTTATCATTTTCGTAAATCCGTCATCAACCCACCTGCTTGTCTCGAATTATCTCTTCATTTCGATATTTTGAACCAGTCTAGTTCTTGAATTTGTATTCAAAGGAAGGATATGAACTGAATTAAAGTGGTTCAGGATAGAGACCAGTGTCGGGCTTTTGTGAACATGGCAATGAACCTTCGTGTTCTATAAAATTTTGACAATTTTGTGACTACATGAAGAACTATCAGCTTCTTAAGGAGGACATAGCTCCATGCAGCTGGATAGTCACATTAAGCAAGAAATACTGACCTTGGCACCTGTGGAAGAATAGGGCTCATCGAAGAGGGACCAGACGCGGGGTTTGAGCCTCTGCCAGCGGGACAGGTTGCCGGCAAGGTAGTCGTCTTCATAACCGAACATGCGGGCAATTTCTTCATCACTCGGTTTGTCTGCATCAATATCTAATTTGTCCAGTATTGCTAGCGTCGCCTGTAAATCAGAAACGAGACTACAGTCTGCACAATTTACCGACGTTTCGGAAAAATTACAGTGGTCAATAGCAGAGATAGTCTTCATGTTTAAACTGTCTGGCCTGGGGGTTTCGGGTTGGTTACTTAATGTATAGAACCCTGAACTGGTATTACTCGTATATTTCGTCGTTTCAAGGCCGAAATTTGTGAAATTTTCTTGAGGCGGATACCAAACGAACGGTTTGGTACTTTCATTATGATAATCGAATTTATCCAGTACCTAGTCCGGGTTTTCCTTAATAAATCTGTTGATTAAATTTACATATTAAATTTCGTGAACAGTCGTAGGCAAGATTCTGTAAATTCTGATTTTCCTCGTTAATTGAGAGTTTCATAATTTGTAGACGCTATTTGGTGATCTCCTGATCAAGGTATTTTGTGTCGAAGAATCTGAGTAAGGAGGACTGCATAAGAACAAGGCAAACCTGAACTTGGGAACCTGAAGACAGGGAAACCATGACAAGCTGTGTGGAGACGGTCGGTCGTAAGACTTTCCGAATTCCCACTGACTTATGGCCAATATTCCGGCAACTAAACAAATTAAGGGGGAGGCATTCTTATGTTTTCCTATCAGTTGTTCTGTTATTCTATAGCTAAACACATAATTCGTTAAAGGTAAAGGTAAAGCTATTCCTGTAACAGGTCGTCAAGGCCCATAGGATTGTGAGACGTCGAGGCTCCAACGATTTTTACACAATCGGCTCACAGATGGCGGTGATGTTCTCATCCTTCCGCGCCGACCGCCCATTAGCTCCCAGGAAGATTCCTGGTACTGATTTCTGTCAGAGGCTGAGTCGAACCCAGGGTCATAGTGCGGTTGGAAGGATTAAGTAAATTGAAAAAATATCCACCTCATTGGGACCCGAACCCGTGACCTTCAGTCTTGTAGTGTAGCGCCTCAACCAATTACGTTACGCTATTCAGGAACTGAAGTTTTAAATATAATTTAACTGATTTCAGATTTCAACTAACATATGATTATTCTGCTTCGAGAGTCATTTCGAAGTCTTGACTAGTATGATAACTGACGAAAACAGAGAAATGTGTCTATTTTGAAGTTGGTCTTTTCATTTCACTTTCGACTCACGTATTCATTTCCCCTGAATTAATTCTTTCTCTCCCCCTCAGTGGGATGGGACTAAGTCCCTTGTACTGCGGCCACTTCTGGCCTATTGTACCAGCCCCAGATGATAGGTGAGGGTGATTGTGGAGCAATTGGTGGAATGAAGATTGGCAGGGGAAACCGAAGAACTCGGAGAAACCCTGCCCCAGCGCCACTTTGTCCACCACAAATCCCACATTACCAAACCCGGGCTCCAACCCAGGCCGAAGCAGTGGGAAGCCAGCGACTAATCGCCTGAGCTATGCCGTGGCCTGAATTAATGCTTAAGTCAGTGGTCTTCAAAATATGGGGAGCACCTCCCTGAAGGGGGGTATTCTACGAAATTATGCAGTAGAATTAATTTCACTGCAATTTTCTAAACATGGAGATTTCAATTTCATAAAGGTAAAACTATCCCTGTAATAGGCTGTGCAGGGTCATAGTGTTGTGAGACGTTAAGGTTCACACTTTTTCTAGACAATCGGCCCAGACATGGAAGTGAGGTTGTTAGCATCAAGCACCGGCCACATTTTACCTCCCAGGAAGATTCCAGGATTCGTGCATTTCTAAAATTTTGTAAATATTTCAGTCAATGGAAACCTAAACCGTACTGATTTTAAAAACAAAAATCTAAAAAGCTTGTTCTATATACTCACAGGAAGTTATGAAAATGGAGGCTAGGGAATATTTTGTCAAGATGGGGCTTAACATTTGCGTGAAGTTCGGAAATCTCTGGCTTCTGTAGAGGACCATCTCACAGAGCAATTCAAAATGAAAATTATACCCAATTGTGTCACTGACCTGTGTGTCCCTGTGAATGCTGTACGTGCTCCAGCAACAAGGCTCTACTTGGTTCGAATCCAGGCCCCAGAATTCCAACTCTTCTTCAAACAATGGTCCGCATACATTTGTCGGGTAATGCAGCTTGCCCGTTCTGAAAGAGTGCACTCTGCAGTAAACCCTCGTCCAACGCGGGGAGATACATCTCTAGAAAGCGGTGCGATCGGTGAATCCGCGTTAGACGAACCTTATATATTATGGGGTTAATGAGGATGAGGGGAAATCAAAGCATTTAAGCAATAAAAACATAAGTGTCTTGTAATAAAGAGGAGTTCAATCCTCTGGGATATAACGCCATATAATCCGCTGAAAGTTAAGTGACGTTTCGGAGGAACATGTTACTTCCGTCTTCAGGTCGTAAGGAAGCCAATGGCTGTTAACCAACAGTAAAGTATCCGATGAATTCAAATGACCAATCAGTTCTGACTAAAGCTGAATTTAAGAATTAATGGAGCTATGCCTACAGACTCCATACATCTTCATGACGTGGTACTTAAATAAGTACAGACACAACTTTCATTAGAGTAAGTATGCCGGATGTTTACAAGAGCTGCCTCTGGGACCCAAAGCAGCATCCTCTAACGTGGGCACCCGTGTCTCTTTTCCCGGAAGTAAAGTGGCACAGACCCGAAACTGACCACTCGTTTTCATCCATTGTCGAGACCAAGAATCTGTGGAGCTATCCCTCTACTCCCCCATACACTTTTATAGCGTGGAGTTGAAATAATTCCAGGAACAAGTTTACCAAATTTATATTTATTGTACCTTCATTCGGACTCTATCCTGTTTGAATATATTGCTAGATTATTCATCATCGTGGTTTTCTTCAGTCTTCTTTGGATGGAATTTATAGTAAACGTCGCAAGAAAGTGAAGTTTAATATTTATTTTAAGGTAGATTCTGTATATGTAGGAATGTCAAGGAGGCTCATACTTTTCAATTTAAAATAAGTTTAAATTTAGTTAAGGTACTTTATCTAAACGAAAAACATCGCTAAAGTACATGCATAACATATTTATCAACCCATTTAAAACCCAAGATTTCTTGTTGCACACACAGACTGTATTATTAATGAAGAGTACACGATGATTTTTTCCCCTTGGCACTACAGCCCCAGTGGGCCTAAGCCTACCTCCATGAACTTCTCCGTTCACTTCGGTTTTTCTAGATCTTACACATTCGGTAGGACTCCTTGGGCGGGTGATCAGCTCGTCGCAAGGACATGATGATTTTACATCTGCCAATTTTTATTGTTTTCCAGTACCAAATTACAGCATTTCCGTGTGCTTCTAAATGTTGAATCTATTTTATACTTTCAATTTATAAAATCAAATTTTATTGTCAGGTTAGTTCCAAGAAATATGGTTCCAAATTAATTTACATATCCAAGAGAAATAAAATATTGAAGAATATTTAAATTATATTATCCATTTCCTTGTCAGTTTCCATGTTAAACATTTCCCACTTAGAAGAGATTATTCTGCTTGTACATTAAATTTTATTACGGCCATTTCGACGCCCCTAGAGGGGTAAGACAATAAACAACGAAGGTCAAATAAGACACTACTTCAAGAGAGATGTTCCGTCCTTACGTTTGGTTGCGCATTTATCAGTGGTGCCAACTGTGAAAAAAAATGCTAATATTTTCTGATTTACCCCTATGTTTTTCATTGTTATCGTAACCGTATAAATTCCGTAAGCCGGTCACGGTAACCGAGCGGTCTAAGGCGTGCACTGTCTTCGCTCGCTTGGAAGCCGGGATCGTGGGTTCGAATCCCACTCAGGGCATGGATGTTTGTGTGCGTTTTTCTGTCTTTGTGTGCAGGTAGAGGCCTTACGACGAGCTGATCACCCGCCCAAGGAGTCCTACCGAATGTGTAAGATCTAGAAAACCGAAGTGAACGGAGAATTTCATGGAGGTAGGCCTAGGCTCACTGGGGCTATAGTGCCAAGGGAAAAAAATATATATTCCGTAAAAGACAGATATTTCTTTCATCCATGTTTCTTTAAACTACGACGGTTTGTAGTAATTCTTAGTATTCGTACTCAGGAGAAGCTTACCGGTAGTAGTTTAGGACTTGCGCGAAGACCCCTGGGTGACGGTCAAAGAAATACTCGTTGAGGATGGGGTCGTAGTTGGCGAGCGCCTCTGTTAGCCTCGACAGCCGTGTAGCTGGGATCTTCTTGAGCGTCGCTTTGTACGTCTCGTATCGGATCCCCCCTACGTTCAGGATGATCCGGTTCTCACCGTCCATCTCGCGACGGCCGGCGTCAGGGCCGTGGGTCTCTGGGGGGCGGCTGTTTCATCGGGGCCCTAAAACATAAAATGATAATGAAGAGTTTTATCTTCTGCAATGTATAAATTCTACATACTATTACACTTTCTACCTGCTACATGTTAGTTTCTTGTCCTGTTTACTGTTATAACCTGAAGATGGAGGCGATATTTTCAACCGAAGCGTTGAGTGACTTTTACAGGGCTAGGCGACATTATGTCCCAGGAGTAATAAATCGTAATAGTCGCAGCTGTGAAAGCCTAAAAGTATGACATAAACATTTTGATGTTTTGGTTCGTGGGAGATTAAACAAGACCAAAAGGAATCGATTCTTTGATCCAGAACCCCTTAAAAGCATATGTAAACACGTTATGGTTGTTAAGTGCATAAAGAATCCTGCAAATGTTCTCAAGCAGATATTTTTGTGCCTTATTTCACGAGGGTATAAGTAGTTATATTGCAAAATTTTGTTTGTACTGATAAAATGAGGAGAAATGATCCCAGGTACCCATTGGATGCGAGACTAATTGGGCCCTAGTGCAGGTCTGGACGACATGGAGAAGATAAATCTTGACCCTGCTGAGAATAGAACTCCGACCGTCCAGCCCGTAGCCCGTCGCTCGCTATACCAACTGAGCTATCCCGGCTGTAAAAAACTGAGACACAATATTCTGATGTTGAGGCAGATCTCGATCCTGGACTTGTCAATCACATACATTCCGCTGTAGTTGATATTCGGTTCAATGTATGGGGTATCTCAGGGTGTATGTGACAGCAACATTTTGTTCCATCATTGAGATTGCAACTGAAATGATTGATAATATGATTAGTAATTGAATTTGCGTTGCTTTCAATGAAAGGGACCCCTGAGTGCACCTTCTTTATTCTCTTAGTGGAACAAAGGCGGTCCAGATTTCATCAACGCGACTGCCGCTACATCTATCGGTCGGGTGGAAAGACTGTATGACTCTCCCTTGCTCAAGTCCCTTTCTTTAACCCAGCAAAGAAAGAGAAGGATGAAACCGGAGAGACAGAAAAAGATTCGTCCTGGTACACCATATGGAGCCTTAGCAGCACTCACTAGCCTGGGTTAAAAATAAAAGAATTTGTTAATTCATATCGTATATTAACTTTCATAAATTATTGTAGACTATTGTTACAGAAGGGCTAACGAATTCTCATTTTCGAAACATGAAACTAACTTAAAATAGGTTTCTATCGTAGCGTGAAGAGCCGTTCCTATGCAATGACCGTTAGATAAGAGTACATACCAGGGCCATTTCTGAGCAACGGCTCTATAGAAACATTCCCGTTGCTAAGCAGCACATTCTTAATAATCCGTGCCGAGATGTTATAAGCAAGGGAGAAGGTTAGAGCTTAGTTCAGTTCTGAACGGGAGTCTGTAAAGACAGGACTTGAGCCGGAGGCAGAGGAATAGCCATTGTTAGAGCCGTTACCAGGAAACTTATAGTAAGAGGATGAGAACACTAGACTGCGTGCTATAGTGAAATGTAAGGGGTGTGAATAGCAATAATGTTATAATTATTTGTACTTACGACCTCTAAGTGGTCAATAATCTATTCAACAACGCAAACCCCTTCTATAGTATCACTACATATACGTGACAATATCAAATTAAGATTTTAATGGATTTATTCAGTCCTTCCAGCCAAATTCCGGTTAACACATCGATTACGGTAGGCCCTTTAAAATCATTCGCAATCTGCCCTTCACCAGACGTCCTACAATTCCATATGTACAGTGTGAGTTACTGACAGAATCGTAAAATACACCACAGACCAGAGCCCCAAGGGGTAGTCTTGAGTTCACAGAACATACCCAGCTTGGAGCTAAGTCCAAAGTCATGACAGCAGAATGAGAGCCAACGCAGTATCAACAATCCTGAAATGTGATGTAGTTTATATATAACATTCAATGTTTACAGTGCTTGAGGGCATGCAGTAATATCCTCAGCAGGATTCCTTCAAAATAAACAAAGCGGTAAGTGGAGAATTTGGACATGAATCATGAGAAACAGTAGGAGATTTGTCATAAGACTTAACACGACAAAAATAAATGTACCCAAAATTTTCACAGTTTGTTCCGAAAGGAGTATGTCCAGACACGTTTTGACGAGGTTCTCGGTTATGAAAATGGTTATCTGAGTCATTCCAGGAATATTCAGAGATGGTAGCTCAATCACACCTTCCTTCCAAATCCTTACCAATTCATCAATCGGAAAAATTCAGGGAACAATTCCTCCGGGAGGGACTTTAAGGTCCCGTGTCGTAGATTTACGGCACGTAAAAGATCCTCATGTTTCTGGGAGACCTCTGAGCAAAATTAGGTAAAATGTTTCCCGCTCAAGTAGTTTCCAATGCCTCTTGTAGATGGGGGAAGTATCAGGTACCGAGGGCCGACCTCGTTGGCTTAACGGGGCTGATAGCACGCACCAGTACCGGTAGGGTATGGCGACTGGTAGAATATCAAAGGGGGACATACAATAGACTATTAGTCGCGGTGCATGGTGAAACCAACCCCCTCCAATAATAATAATAATAATATCCCATGTGCTTAACTAATTAAACACTACTCCATGAAGGCGTATGGGAAGTGGATGTATAGATCCACATTTTCTGATCTCGGTATTAGTTGGAGGTGAGTGGTCAGCTTCACGCCCCTGCTGCTTTACTCCCGGGGAAAGAGCCCACGGTACACATTGGAAAGGAGGCTGAGTGGACGCCAGAGCCGGTCTGGAAGATGTAGACAAGAGAAAATTCTTGACCCTATCGGGACTCGAACTCCGAATCCTCGGTCGCACAGCCCGCAACCAGCCACTATACCGACTGAGCTAGAGCACTGAAAAAATTAACACGAAGTTAATTCACAATTTCAAATCTTCATATCATAAATTTATTGATGATTATCTGAACCAGCAAGAAACATGACGGATATTTATTATTCAGGCTTCATAAACGGAAAGGTCTAGTTCGATCCTCGACTAGGAGATGATATTTCCTGACTGTGACTTGTCGTGCTTTCCCTCATTTCATAGCGGGGGAAAACTGACAGAAAACCTCAAAATAGAAATCATGCTTCGACCAGTTTGAAGTCCGACGTTATCACGGCCGTTATTAGGAAGATCATTTTCTTCTGATCTATGACATATTTTAGTATGAAGATAGAAGCATCAGACACTTCCGAAACGTTCTTATCTATATATAAAACTACACATCGTCGCATACCAGATAGTTATTTCCACGTGGGTCTCAAATCCCATTTTATAAGATTTTTTGAAGTTCCATCGTTTCTTCGGAGAACCGCGAGGGCGTAGTTGGTTGAGGCACCATGCTACAAGCCTAACGGTCGCCGGATCGAATCCCGATGATGTCACTGGATTTTTAAATTGACCTGATCTTTCCAGCCGCACTATGGCCCTGGGGTCGACTTAGCCTCTAAGAGAAATGAGTAGCAGGAATCTTCCTGGGGGTAATGGGCTGCCGGCGTGTAAGGCTGACCACCTCACCGCCATCTATGAGCCGACTGTCTAGAAAATGTGAGCCTCGACGTCTCACAACCCTATGGACTTCCATAGCCTGTTACAGGAACAGATTTAGCTTCACCTTTTAACATTTATTCTTGTCCGGAATTATTTGTTCCTACAGTTTGAGATACCTCAGTCGGTGTCCAGACTATCGACTGGAAGGGGACGACCTAGGAATTGAGGTTCGATTTCCAGAAGAAGTAAGAACCTGTTCTCCTCTCCGTAGTGTCCAGATCGCTTCTGGTGCCCACCGGTTCTACCGCGGGTTCCTTCCCCGAGGGTAAAATGGCCGAGGCGTGAAGCTAACACCTCACCTCCATCTACTACAGAGGTCAAGAAAGGTGCAGCTATAACCCCCGGCCTCAATATATCTTCATGTCATAGTCCTTAATTAATTAAGCAGAGGTATAGCCTTTAAGCCGGTCACGGTAGCTGAGCGGTCTAAGGCATGCACAATTTTCGCTTTCTCGGAAGCCGGGATCGTGGGTTCGAATCCCGCTCAGGGCATGGATATTTAATGCATGTGTGTGCGCTGAGTTTTTCTGTGTTTGTGTGCAGGTAGAGGCCTTGCGAAGAGCTGCTCACCTGCTCAAGGAGTCCTACAGAATGTCTAAAATCTAGTAAACCGAAGTGAAACGGGGAGTTTCACGGAGGTAGGCCAAAGGCCCAAATTGGGGCTGTAGCGCCAAAGGAAAAAAAAATAGCCCTTGAAATGTGTATCTGAAATGAAGAGTCCTGTCTTGTAACTGTTGTGAGAACCTCAAATACTGCAAATATGGAATAATCCTGTCCACCAAACCGCACGTTGGCCATCCGGTCTAGAGGAATGAGTTCGAAACCACTTTCTTCCTTGTCATGTAAAAATAACTGCTACTTACAGACAAATTTGGAAGTGAAATAAACACGTTGTATTTGATGTTCTCGCAGTTGTGACAACATTTAGTAAGATCTTCTAGGTTGTAATTCAATGTGGGCTTTGATACATTCCGAAGTTTCGGAGGAGTATATCACCATCTTCTTCAGGATTGAAGAGTAATTTATGTTTAGCTTGCAAGACCACTTATTCTGGTTTTTTATTTGACGTATTCTTTGACCTTGACGATTAAGGTGATACGGTTCACCAAAAATTAGGACTGTCCGAATTACACGGCGTTATAACCCAGATAAGAATAACTCTGTGGCTTTAGTCCGCAAGCGAACTATACCGACCGAGCGAACGCCACTTGTCGACGAAGTCAGTGCCAACTTTAGCGGATTGAGAGTGTCACGTGGTAAGTGCAACGAATCCCCACGGTCGTTAATTTCCGTTTTCTAGACTGGAGCCGCTATTTCCTTAAAATAGCTCCTCAATTATCTTCACGAGGCTGAGTGGACCACGTTCCAGTCCCACTATTTCTAGAAGAATCTGGTAGCGCCAGGAATCGAACACAGGACATATGGATCTGTAGCCAGGAATTCTGACCACTAGACCACACAGGTGGTCATAATCTAGAT